TTCTAAAAAACAAACTCCCCTAAAATTGATACCCCGTTCTAGAAATGGGCCAATTTTTTACACCCCGTTCTAGAATTCGCCCTAAAACTGATACCCCTTTCTAGAAATAGGCCAATTGTTTATACTCCTTTCTAGAAAGTTTGTAAATTGAAATAGCCCTGTTTTTTTAAAAAGATATTTCTTTATTTGTTCGATTCATACATCAAATAAATGTTTCTTCATAATCAGCAACAATTTTAAGCAGAAGATAAAGCCGTGATCCACAATTTTTTATACCCCGTTCTAGAAAAACGCCTCTGAAATGGATACCCCGTTCTAAATCAGGAGCTTCAAAATCACGAACCCTTTAAGCGGCACATACCCGTATAGGTAATGTATGGGAGTACCCCCGGGTTTTCTTCACAGCGGATCAGAGCGCTTGAACCATCCGAGGCAGCAAGGTTTCTGAAGAAACTTGAGGTACATTCTGTATACTATATGGTCAAGGAAAGTACGTTTTTAAAAGGGAATTTTTGTATTTATAAAGTTTTCATGGACGTTTTCTTCAATTTTACATTGACGTGAAAGAAAACCGCAAAATGCGCATTTGAAATGTGCATTTGCCATGTGCTTGCGTGAAAGGATCCACGATCAAGTTAGTGTTACGCGAATTGCTTTTTAGGATTAACTTATGGGAAATTAACATTTCCCGAACATTTCATGTAATAAGGTACTCAAATATGGACAAGACATGGGCAAAATTAATTCATTTTTGACCATGGCTGCCGGTTGCTCGATATTTACCAGCATTTACTATTTTACAAAGCGGTAAAGTATTTCACCCCAGATTAACCGGACCGCGGCCCATATTTTCTAGACTGCCCTTATAGCGGAGCTCTGGCGCGCGAAGCGCGCCTGCGGAGCACCATGGGTAAGTAAATCTACCCATCCCAGAAAATTTGGTAATCACGTGACCGTACACCGCCCGCCCGCCCGCTGCCCGTCCGTCCGCACCACAGGCATACCAATGTTTACTCTCACACTTTCTAGCTACTTTGGGAGCCCAGGAGAAAGCTGATTGCACATCAATGTTGTCATCAATTGACAGCTGTCAAAACAGGGTATCCGCTGACCAGTATCACCTGACCTTATCGCGGGCTCAGGGGTCGACCCATCGAGGTCGAGTATTTTTTTGAAGTTATCCGCTGACAATTGACTCGTTTTCAAATGATCGCAGGCTCATGTTTACTTTTATTTTTAAATTCATATCAAATATGTTTTGTTTATGTGAGTATCGCCACCCACTATTGCGATTTTGATTTCAAACTGACCACCAGTTTTTTTAAAAATACAGGGGGGGAAGACCTTTTCTAACCATGGTCACGTGTTGGTCACGCTCCACGTCCAATTTTTATGCTCTGATTGGTTAAAATTTGACAGGAGAGTTCATGCGTAAAATTTATGCAGCATCTTGAAAGTTGTTGACTTTGACCATGGATAATAGAAAGTCTTTGCTTTGACTGCTTGCGTTGAAGCTGACAGAGTTTTGAGTCAACTTGTGCTGTTTTTAACTGTCTTTTTCCACTGGATGCAAAAAATGAAATACAGCTACTATCAAGAGTGTTCTCTTATTCATGACTGGTTTGTTCATTGGGTTTTTGGTTAAGAAATGCGTCGCTTGTCAAAGCCAATAATCCGATTTCGGATCAGATGGCATCGTTTTTGTTTTTCACCTTGCTGGATGCGTACGAGAATTAGAAAGGCTCAAGCGATCCTTGCCTTACTTGATAGCTTTCAGGAGCTGCATCTCGAAATATGGTAAGCCTGAGTAATTATTGTATTTATATCTAATTTCATGAAGTCCAGCGGCGCAGTCTATGAAGCTATTTTATGCACGTTTGTATTAAGATTTAACTGAGACACTGATCTGAGCTAGTATGAGGTTTGATATAAGCCTAAGCTTACAGAACTTTAAAAAGCCTTTAGTCGATATTAATTCACCGTAAATAGAAAGAAAAAACTTTCCCAAGAGTATTGAGTTATAATTTTGGCTGTAGAAAGAAAGCTTTCATCTTCGAAAAAAGCAAACACCGGGAAACCGGCGGCTTAAAACATAAACTTAATCGTTAAGCTTACTTGAGGATTCTTAGACACACTTAAATACTCATTTGTTTTCGCGAATGAAAATTGTTGTCTCTGTAAATGGTCCATCGAATTATGTTTCTTTATTGATTGTTGGTAGTCTTAAAAGTGTAATTTTCATCGCTTTGCCCTTTGTTTTCGGGCGTAAATAAACATCGCTTACAGGAGTACTCAAAATGCCGAGCGTATCAAACGCTTTTTAAGATTACACATCGTTATAAAACCATTAATAAAAAATAAACTCAATAAATTCTTTATCACGTTGAAGTGCAACTCTTTTAAAATTTCTTCGCAAATTTGGCGCTTGTCAAAAGTTAGAACCGGCTGGCCGTATAGGTGATTTTGGACATTTTTTGAACGGTTTCGCTAATTAAAAGTCCACGCGTGCTTCGAAGATCCTGAGTATTGAATGAATGCAATTTGTCTTGAAAAATTGTGAAGTACTGCATTTTGTACGAGGTCTGTATGATAAGCGCCTCATAGTACTCTTTCTCCTCAGATGTGGTGTATAAAAAAAAATAAAAGAATGGTTTGCACGCACCCAGATTTATTGGCAAGAATTTGTATACTTGTCGAACGCAAAAAATTCGGCCTGGTTTGTTTTCCAAGAATTTGTTTTCCACGCCTTATCTACTGTGATCAAGAGCCATTATGGCTCTTAAATGTGAGCGAAGACTATTTTTTGGGTGTACATATAAGGCTATATCAACTCGATACAAGATTTGTTTTACTCCAAAATCACTTAGCTTTTCCCTCAAAAGTCACATGAATGTGCCCTAAGTTAACTGATTTGTGGAATACAAAATTATTGTTTGATTTAAGTTATAAATTTATCAATGGGAGCTTCGCTTTTAGCTGTGGCTAAATCTATATATTTGTAACATAACGTCGTGGTTTGCAATCGCGCTGGCTGAGATAAAGAACTAGACGGAGAAAAAGCGGACTGCAAGCGTGACACAAATGCTGACTATAGATATTTTCCATGTCACTAAGTGCAATAGTTTGTGAATGGTCAGGGACACCCAACGAGAATATAGTTCAAAACCACTTAAACACAGCAGTGTTAAACGTATTTTACTATTTAAACGGTAGATGAAGGCATATTTTTATCCCCTAAAAATTTTTCATCTGTTCGGATTTCCTAGCTGAAAGTCTAGTGATCCGAAAATCATAGGGATCAAAACTTACCTTTACGAAAATTTCAGCCAGAAAAAAGGCTACCGAATATTCTAGGTGACCTTTTTAGGGTAAAAATCCGTTAAAAAATAGGCAATTATACAATTTTTTAGATGTTCGAAAATCCTAGGAGAGGCAGGCAAGCAAGAAATCTTACGACAAATGTTCCGAAAATTCCAGATCTCAAATCGTCTTCCGAACAGATATTTTTCCGAAAATCGTCGTTGGGTGCCCCTGAATGGTGAGACCGAACAAAAACGGGGTTAATATTTACATTTCGAGCACCTCTGAGAAAAATATATTAAAGAACACACATTGATTTAACAGTGCTATCAACTTTATTTACTTTGTTTTTCAATTGATGCCAGTTGCGAGTCTTAACCGTTTTAAGCTTTTCCAATCATGCAATTATCAGACTAATGAGTGGCTGAAAACTGGTGACTACAATGTTGCGTAACTCGATTTTCATTGATCGAATGTGATTTCTACCAAATCTGATTGTTTAAGCGCCTCTATTTCCAGCTTCATCGGTAAATTCCTATCTACTAGTGTATTTACGTAGTAACTGGATGCACTATCGTTTACAATCACTTTGAGTTATAAAAACAATTTAATGCGATAAGTCACTGCAATGGCTCTTTCACCAGCCCTGAGACAGCTGTCATTTTTTAGCAGCGGATGACACGTACACATCGCCAACACCAGATCCTTCCAACACGGCCATAACTATCAATAACATAGCCGCAAACCCAATAATATTTGTACCATATGACAATGCAACGCTTCACTCCTGGAACACAAGTAATAAATCAGTATTAGTAATTTAAAAGCCTTAACTGATACCTGGCATTAATAGAAACTAATTTAATTCGGACACATTATCTAGACAAGGAACGTTATCATTTTACAAATTGCCGTAAAAACAGACTCTATTTAGTAACTGTTATGGAAAAGCGAATTTCAAATATGAGTCCGAAACAAAAGTATTAGGGAATAATATTTCTTCACTAAAAACAATTTGCAAGAAGCAAACGTCTCAATGTAAGAGAAAGGGATCTTTCCCATGAGTTACGACACATACCCAGAATTAGTTTGCGCTTCAAAAAATAAAAAGTCAATTATTTAATTTAGAAAAAAAAGTTAAATTGATCGCTCGTCTCAAATAAAATAAGCTCACCCTTTTTAATTGACGTAACTTTTGGCGCTTCAATTCGTCCTTAATTAGCCGAAAATGGAATTGCCACTACAAATAGTGTAAATAACGGAGCTTATTGTTTGTAACACTGTGCTTAACTACATCATTTCGAGACTTCCCTTCGGTTTAAAGGTAAAATTTACGCTGATTGATCGTGAATTTGGCTAAGAATGATTTGAAGGCCACAAATAATGAAGTTATCCCCATTATAAGACAATAATTAATGCCGATATGTAAATGTCACCCGTCACATGTTTACTTGCTGCCCTACAAATCGTCAAAAGTAATCCCGATTTATTATACATCCCCAAGAAATCATATTCAGACTAAAAAATTTTCTCCTACGTTTACTTACTGCAAAAAGAGCTACAGTATACAAATCCTGCAAAGAAAGTCTGAGTTGCTCGTAAAAGGTGTTTTGGCCACTCAAGATTGCTTCCCGATTCAGCATACATCTCCAAGACAGCACTTTAAGACTAACATTTTTAGTGTTTGTGTTTTCTTGTAATTATTTGACTTCATAATACGCTAATAACTTCCAACACTTACGTTTAACCATTACCGACAAAGGCGTTGCCTTTTTGACGCGATAGATGGGCAGCTTGGCACACAACGAAGCCATTTCATCACTCAGGTCCGAGCGGTCAGTGACCATCGAAACGACTTCGTAATCAACTTTCGTCTCATTTTTCAATGTTGGCGATGCAGAGCTTTTCTGTAAAGAGTAACATAATACCTTAAGTGCCATGATTAAGTAACCTTCATGTCGTACTGAAGAAGTATGATGCATAAAATAAACGAAAGTTCTGCAACTGTAATTATAATCTGTGCGCGTTTTCAAGTTTAAACTAAATTACCCGCGTACTAAAAGGCCTTTATTTTAGAAAAACACCAACAGCTTAGAAACCTTAAAACTAAAGTCTTAGATGGAGAGGGAGTAGGAAACCCAAGAACACCTTAACATGATTTTCCGTCGTGTCTAATAAGTTTATCAAAAATATGGCTAAGCCTCATTGCTTGGCTGGTTAAGCGTGTACAGTAACCGGCTACTGAAAAGGTTTTTTTGAAATGTCCAAACGATAGTAAAATAAAACAATAAATTTAGTTCTATCTCCTACTGAAACACTGTGGAAATGTAACTGTTAATCTCACTTGAAATACCTGGTCAAGTAACTTGACGAGGTCACTGGGCTTGGGAATACTTTCATCAAATTCACTCAGAAAACAGGCTTTTGCAGCAGAGATTCGTTGCATGGTCAAGTTCTGCAAGAAAGAAACACATAGTCAGTTTTGTTACGATATCATAACTCAAATTGACGTTTTGGGATAACGGAGAAAAATACGAACAGAGAGAAAAATACGAACAGAAAGAATAATCCAGTGTGTAATTCACCGACAGGAGCTAGAAAATGTTTAATCTTTAAAATCAGTTCATCGCGAACAGTCCAAGTAAGTGATGCTGCCACACCCACTTTGCACCTGTCTTACTAAAGTATCTTTCATCACCTTTTTGAAATCGTAAACGATATCAACGTCTCCCGCGTTCCCAGAATCTGTCTTTGGAATGCGATAGGTTTCTGTTTGTTTCTCAGTGTCAATTTCAACGTCTTCTTCAATCTCTTTATCTCCATCCTTTATTTTGAACTTGTACTTGGACACACTTTGCTGCAAAGTGAAAGAGACATCGCTTAGCATTTATAAAATGCCTTCGCTAATTATAGAAAAGTTGTACAAAATAACCTGTAGAAAAGTGGAGTGACCAATTTAAACTTTAAGACGGTTTAATAATGTATCCTAAAGCACCACTTGTTTTTAAGCACCCATATTAAACAGACCAACTTTAAAGTGTACCTTTTTGTCTTCACATTTACACTCAGAAGCTGCAGATGTGGCAACAACAAAGACGGCAAAGCACAGAAGGGCTAGCTGGAACTTCTGATGACAGAAACAAATAAAACTTTGTTAGAGGTTGATCGCATCTGCTACTGCAAAAGCAAGTCATCAGCCCTGTCTGTATTCTCAGTAACCGTATGTTTTAGTAGCTGGTGCTTTAGCTGTCCTCGATGCTAAAGATTTCAAAATAAGATGTCGTCAAACAAAACTTACCATTTTTCTCTCGCAAAGGAAAAGGGACAGTTCTTTCTTCTTTCTTGTGGCAGAGGTCTTTTACCTTTCTCCACTGAGAATGGCTGCAACATTCACGGGGATATCTTTTTATACCATCTGAAAGTACTCGAATGTCTCCGCATTGTTAATTTGATACTGCAGATTATATAGTATTTTACATTTTAAGTTTACATCTAAATTTGGGCCAATTCTCCTATTGTTTCTGCTCTATCACAGTACCAGTTTTGACCTCGCTGTAGCACTTCCCTAACTGCGCATATTCAAAAACAGAAAGTATTGATGCATAAGTCCATGCTAATCTTTGAACTCACCCTACGTATGCTGTAAAAATGCGCTTTTCGATGCGTCACAACATTTTTTTTCCAGCGGAGCGACTTAATCATAAGTTGTAATTTCCCCTGCTAGAATCCACTGAGAATCTACCCTCCACTGAAAATAGAAACAAAAGGAAATAAAGTAATGTTTTCATATACCAATTTGGCCCACTTTCAGCGGTCACCGTATTGCGCATGTGCTGTAACTGAATATAACTAATCAATTCATTCACGGATTAAGGTGATTTTAGGGATAATCTGTAAAATATTTCGTAACTTGTGCAGTACACGTGCGTTTGTTATGTGTAACGCTGTTCTCCCCCTCCCCCCTCCCCCACTACACGAAAAAAAGAATTCTGGAGCCATACACTCTTATAGTCCTCTTAAATGAGTGTATCTTTTGATGTGTTTATCTTTAGATGACTCGCAAAAGATTGCTTTTAATATTTTAGTGGCGCTTGAGATTTCCATGCACCTATTTTAATTTCAAATCATAAAACATGACCAGCATGACCAGTCCAGATGCTCCGATCATCTTCGGATTTAGCCGAATATTAACACAGTACAGTGTATACGTTGAAATCCTCCTCTAACTACTGCCTTTCGTCGTCAGTAGAAAACGGCTCGGGGAATTATATTCTCTGCTTTCACATGACGTCACCAAAACTCCAAACTAAGAAACTATCCATTCTTTTGAGTTTCTACTTTCATGAGGTATTACAATACCCAAACATCTTTATGTAAACAAATATTCGGTTGGAAAGGGTTCTTCGTTTTACGACAGAGGACGCTTGAATTTCCAGGCTTTCGCGTGACACAGCATTTAGCTGACGGCCAGGAAAGCTCTTATTTGGGTTAGAAAAATTACCGATTTTGAGAGATCTTGCTATCTAGACACTCCTTGTCTCATAGTAAACATTACGTTAATCTTTATGGGTTCCTCAAGCGAAGAATTCACGCATTAGTAGGAAAACTTTATAAATATGGGGAAAACGTTTTTTCCGAATATCTCGCATATGAAATATTGCACAGTGATTCTTGGCAAGGATTTTGTACATTTATCTTCTTTCATTCCCCAGATTCTAGACTTTTTTGTACATTTTATTCAATGGTTTACATTTTTATTTTTGATGGCGTGACAGTGAAAACCGAGAACATATGGAGAACAACGGCAGAACTAAAACACGCTGGAATCACGCTGAAACGGTCAAAGATGCTAGGAACAATTACAACCAAGAATAAAACAAGGCGACAAGGTATTGAAGAAGTTGTCGTGTATATTTATTGCTAATTTTATGCCGTAAATAACTATCGCTAAAATCCCGCATACAAACCCTTACAATACATCTGTTATGCAAACGATCCTTACTCGTGAGTCGTGACTAACTGTGACATGACCTCATGACTTAATGCGCATACGCGGTAACTATTGAGGACAGACAACATGTAAAATTAAAAGGAGACGGACTAACGCCTGCGGGGGATCCGGACCTAGGGAAAATTTGAAGATGTTTCTCTGCTTGAAAGAATAGTTTATAAGAGTAAAACTTGGCTGAAGAGTTAAGTTTATTAGCAAAAAGACTAGCCTACCAGCAAAGGCTACAGATCCCGTTTTTACGTGTGATGCATAAGTCCATACTAATCTTTGAACTCACCCTACCCATCCAGAACGAAGGGAAAAAAATAGAATGAAAAATTTTGTGAAAATGGAACTTGACCAACGCGTAAAATTACAAAAAAGACTAGCCTACTGTAGGCTACAGTGCGCTTTTTGATGCGGTACAACATTTTTTTTTTCTAGGAGAACGACCTGATCATAAGTTGTAATTTCGCCTGCTAGAATCCACTGAGAGTCTACCCTCCACTGAAAGTGGAAGCAAAAGGAAATAAAGTAACGTTTTCATACACTAAATTTTAACGAATCTTCTTTTAAACATTGTAGATGTATACGGAACTGTTGGTACCTGAATATAGACTAGTTCTTAATGACTAGTGTTTGGTTTAACTAACCGAAATATTAACGACCTAGTCCTAATCTCGGCTGCGAACTCGAGTTCTACCCCACTCTACATAGATCTGTATCGCGCATATCGGGCGATTGAACATTTGTCCTTGACATGAACATCTATAATCTGGCCCACTTTCAGCGGTCACCGTATGGCGCATGTACCGGCGTAACTGAATATAACTAATCAATTCATTCACGGATTAAGGTGATTTTAGGGATAATCTGTAAAATATTTCGTAACTTGTGCAGTACATGTGCATTTGTATAGTGTAACACCCCACAAAAAAAAGAAGAAATTCTGGATCCATATACCCTTACAGTCTTCTTAACTTGAAAGAGTGTATCTTTTGATCTTTTTATCTATAGATGGCTCGCAAAAGAATCCTCTTGATATTTTAGTGGCGCTTGAGATTTCCAAGCACCCATTTTTAAATCAGAAAACATGACCTCATGACCTTGAATCAGCACTTCCTTTAGCAATCACATTAATGCGCATACGCGTTAACTATTAACGGCAGACAACCTAATTAAAAATCAAATAGAGACGGACTGATTGAACTATGAACATTTGTCCTTGACATGAACATCTATAATCTGGCCCACTTTCAGCAGTCACCGTATTGCGCATGTACCGGCGTAACTGAATATAACTAATCAATTCATTCACGGATTAAGGTGATTTGGGGGATAATCTACAAAATATTTCGTAACTTGTGCACTACACGTGCGTTTGCACCCTTATAGTCCGAAGGAGTGTATCTTTTGATCTTTTTATCTATAGATGGCCCGCAAAAGAGTCCTTTTAATATTTTAGTGGCGCTTGAAATTTCCAAGCACCTATTTTAAAATCATAAAACATGACCTCATGACCTTGAATCAGCACTTCCTTTAGCAATCACATTAATGCACATACGCGTTAACTATTGACGGCAAACAACCTAATTTAAAATCAAATAGAGACGAACTCACCCTACCCATCTGGAGCGAGGGAAAAATTACAGCTTTTTCTTGGCTTGAATGAATAGTTTATAAGTCAAGTGAAACTTGGCTTGGCTAACGTGTTCAATTATATAAAAAAAGACTAGCTTTCCAAAGGCTACAGTCCCTTTTTTTATCTGTGTGTGTGTGGGTGTGTTTATGTGTGTTTTTTCAATAATCTACGAAAACGAAGGGAAATAAACCTTTTTTATACGCCCAATTTTATGGAATCTTTTAACAGTACGCGTATTGTTTCCACGGAATTAGTATAGCTCATTTTTTTCTTCTGACGAAGAAAGGCAGTAGTTAGAGGAAGATTTCAACGAGTACTGTGTTAATATTCGGCTAAATCCGGAGGCGATCGGAGCATTTGGACCGAATTTACGGCTTATTTCCTTCGGTTGATATGCGAGACCTTCGCTTGCAAGTAACCGCCAGTTTTGGAGAATTCAGTGGCCAAAGAACAACGGTAGAACTAAAACTCGCTGGAACTGCGCTGAAACGGTCAAATACTCTAAGAACACGAAGTTAATAAAACAAGGGAACAACGTAAGATGTCGTTTTCTATCTTTATTGCTATTTTTATGCCCTAAATAACAATCGCTAGAATTCCCATGCAAACCCTCGTACAAATCCTTATAATATTTCTGATCTTCTCACGAGCTTTGGGTAACTGTGATCATGTTTTGACAGTTACATCAAAGTCTCACTCGCTTCTAAAATAACAAATAACCTTTTACGAGCCATCCAAATATAGACACATCAAAGGTACATGTACAGTTTTCGGGAGGATCTAGTTATGGTCCTAGATCCTTTGGGGAACACCGCGTTTCACTTATCAAACGCGCTATCGAATACAGAAACTGCGCAAATTCCGCACAGTGATGAATTCTTTTTTGCGTGGAGTATCCTGAAGATTACACTACGCCACTTAAGATTTGAGACCGATTAACTGCTTCAGTATAAGCTTATACTAGATTTTGAGGTCACAGACAAATGTTCAGTTTTTTCGCCTGTTTCAGAATCTTTGTACGGTCGGGTAGAGCTCGAGTTGGTAGAGATTTGGACTAGATACAAAAAATTGCTGCTAGTAGAACCAAAAAGTGAGCTATACTAATTCACGTGCAAACAGTACTGTATACATCTTAAATATTCAAAGATTCCATAACATTTGGCGTATAAAAAATGTATATTTCCTTTCCTTTTCGTAATTTATTGAAGGAAAGACTCTTCCCAGGCTTTTGCTAAAATTACAACGAAATCGTCTTCCTGCTGGAAAAAATATTTTTGGGACTCATGCAACAAAACACACATAAAAAAGGAGACTGTAGCCTTTTGAAGGCTAGTCTTTTTTTATAATTTTACACGTCAGCCAAGTTTCACTCTTATAAACTATTCTTTCAAGGCAAGGAAAAGCTTTAATTTTCCCCTAGCTCCAGATGGGTACGACCGGAGTCCTTCTCCATTTGATTTTTAATTATGTTGTCTGCCGTCAATAGTTATCACGTATGCGCATTAATGTAATTGCTAAAGGAAGTGCTGATTCATGCTGGTCATGTTTTATGATTTGAAATTAAAATAGGTGCATGGAAATCTCAAGCGCCACTAAAATATTAAAAGCAATCTTTTGCGAGCCATCTAAAGATAAACACATCAAAAGATACACTCATTTAAGAGGACTATAAGAGTGTATGGCTCCAGAATTTTTTTTTTTTTTGTGTAGTGGGGGAGGGGGGAGGGGGAGAGCCGCGTTACACATAACAAACGCACGTGTACTGGACAAGTTACGAAATATTTTATAGATTATCCCTAAAATCACCTTAATCCGTGAATGAATTGATTAGTTAAATTCAGTTACAGCACATGCGCAATACGGTGACCGCTAAAAGTGGGCCAGATTGGTGTATGAAAACGGCTTTATTTCCTTTTGTTTCTATTTTCAGTGGAGGGTAGATTCTCAGTGGATTCTAGCAGGCGAAATTACAACTTATGATTACGTCGCTCCGCTTGAAAAAAAAAATGTTGTGACCCATCAAATAGTAGGCTAGCCTTTTTGTAGTTTTTACAGCATAGGTAGGGTGAGTTCAAAGATTAGCATGGACTTATGCATCAAGACTTTCTGTTTTTGAGTATGCGCAGTTAGGGAAGTGCTACAGCGAGGTCAAAACTGGTACTGTGATAGAGCAGAAACAATAGGAGAATTGGTCCAAGTTTAGATGTAAACTTAAAATGTAAAATACTATATAATCTGCAGTATCAAATTAACAATGAGAAGACATTCGAGTACCTTCAGATGGTATAAAAAGATATCCCCGTGAATGTTGCAGCCATTCTCAGTGGAGAAAGGTAAAAGGCCTCTGCCACAAGAAAGAAGAAAGAACTGTCGCTTTTCCTTTGCGAGAGAAAAATGGTAAGTTTTGTTTGACGACATCTTATTTTGAAATCTTTAGCATCGAGGACAGCTAAAGCACCAGCTACTAAAACATACGGTTACTGAGAATACAGACAGGGCTGATGACATGCTTTTTCAGTAGCAGATGCGATCAACCTCTAACAAATTTTTTTTGTTTTTGTCATCAGAAGTTCCAGCTGGTCTATCTGTGCTTTGCCGTCTTTGTTGTTGCCACATCTGCAGCTTCTGTGTGTAAATGTGAAGACAAAAAGGTACACTTTTAAGTTGTTCTGTTCAATATGGGTACTTATAAACAAGTGGTGCTTTAGGATACATTATTAAACCGTCTTAAAGTTTAAATTGGTCACTCCACTTTTCTACAGGTTATTTTGTTCAACTTCTCTATAATTAGCGAAGGCATTTTATTAGCTTTTAGCAATTAGCTTTTAGCGAAATACCTTGACACTTTAATAAAGTTTATGTTTAAAGTTTGTATGAATGCTAAGCGATGTCTCTTTCACTTTGCAGCAAAGTGTGTCCAAGTACAAGTTCAAAATAAAGGATGGAGATAAAGAGATTGAAGAAGACGTTGAAATTGACACTGAGAAACAAACAGAAACCTATCGCATTCCAAAGACAGATTCTGGGAACGCGGGAGAAGTTGATATCGTTTACGATTTCAAAAAGGTAATTAAAGATACTTTAGTAAGACAGGGGCAAAGTGGGTGTGGCAGCATTACTTACTTGGACTGTTCGCGATGAACTTATAATGACTTTTAAAATTAAACGTTTTCTAGCTCCTGTCGGTGAATTACTCACTGGATTATTCTTTCTGTTCGTATTTTTCTCCGTTATCCCAAGACGTCGATTTGAGTTATGATATCGTAACAAAATTGACTATGTTTCTCTTTCTTGCAGAACTTGACCATGCAACGAATCTCTGCTGCAAAAGCCTGTTTTCTGAGTGAATTTGATGAAAGTATTCCCAAGCCCAGTGACCTCGTCAAGTTACTTGACCAGGTATTTCAAGTGAGATTAACAGTTACATTTCCACAGTGTTTCAGTAGGAGATAGAACTAAATTTATTGTTTTATTTTACTATTATCGTTTGGAAATTGCAAAAAAACCTTTTCAGTAGCCGGTTACTGTACACGCTTAACGAGCCAAGCAATGGAGCTCAGCCATATTTGTGATAAACGTATTGGATATGACGGAAAATCATGTTAAGGTGCTCTTGGGTTTCCTACTCCCTCTCCATCTAAGGCTTTGTTTATGAGTTATTAAGCTGTTAGTGTTTTTCTAAAACAAAGGCCTTTTAGTAAGCGGGTAATTTAGTTTAAACTTGAAAACGTGCACAGAATATAATTACAGTTGCAGAACTTTCGTTTAGTTTATGCATCATACTTCTTCAGTTCGACATCAAGATTACTTAATCATGGCACTTAAGGTATTATGTTACTCTTTACAGAAAAGCTCTGCATCGCCAACATTGAAAAATGAGACGAAAGTTGATTACGAAGTCGTTTCGACGGTCACTGACCGCTCGGACCTGAGTGATGAAATGGCTTCGTTGTGTGCCAAGCTGCCCATCTATCGCGTCAAAAAGGCAACGCCTTTGTCGGTAATGGTTAAACGTAAGTGTTGGAAGTTATTAGCGTATTATGAAGTCAAATAATTACAAGAAAACACAAACACTAAAAATGTTAGTCTTAAAGTGCTGTCTTGGAGATGTATGCTGAATCGGGAAGCAATCTTGAGTGGCCAAAACACCTTTTACGAGCAACTCAGACTTTCTTTGCAGGATTTGTATATTGTAGCTCTTTTTGCAGTAAGTAAACGTAGGAGAAAATTTTTTTAGTTTGAATGTGATTTCTTGGGGATGTATAATAAATCGGGATTACTTTTGACGATTTGTAGTGCAGTAAGTAAACATGTGACGGGTGACATTTACATATCGGCATATATTATTGTCTTATAAGGGGGATAATGTTCATATTTGTGGCCTTCAAATCACTCTTAGCCAAATTCGCGATCAATCAGCGTAAATTTACCATTAAACCGAAGGGAAGTCTCGAAATGATGTAGTTAAGCACAGTGTTACAAACAAGAAGCTCCATTATTTACACTATTTGTAGTGGCAATTCCATTTTCGGCTAATTAATTAAGGACGAATTGAAGCGCCAAAAGTTACGTCAATTAAAAAGGGTGAGCTTATTTTATTTGAGACGAGCAATCAATTTAACTTCTTTTTCTAAATTAAATAATTGACTTTTTATTTTTTGAAGAACGAACTAATTCTGGGTATGTTTCGTAACTCATGGGAAAGATCTCTTTCTCTTTCATTGAGACGTTTGCTTCTTGCAAATTGTTTTTTATGAAGAAATATTATTCCCAAATGCTTTTGTTTCGGACTCATATTTCAAACTCGCTTTTGTCTATTACAGTTATTATTTAGAGTCTGTTTTTACTGCAATTTGTAAAATGATAACGTTCCTTGTCGAGATAATGTGTCTGAATTAAATTAGTTTCTAATAATGCCAGGTGTTAGTTAAGGCTTTTAAATTACTAATACTGATTTATTACTTGTGTTCCAGGAGTGAAGCGTTGCATTGTCATATGGTACAAATATTATTGGGTTTGCGGCGTTGTTGTTGATGGTTATGGCCGTGTTACTGGCAGGATCTGGTGTTGGCGATGGGTACGTGTCATCACTGGGTGCTAAAAAATGGCAGCTGTCGCAGGGCTGGTGAAAGACCCATTGCAGTGACTTATCGCATTAAATTGTTTTTATAACTCAAAGTGATTGTAAACGGTAGTGCATCCAGTTACTACGTAAATACACTAGTAGATAGGAATTTACGGATGTAGCTGGAAATAGAGGCGCTTAAAGGCAATCAGATTAAACTTGGTAGAAATCACATTCGATCAATGAAAATCGAGTTACGCAACATTGTAGTCAGCAGCTTTGACAGCCACTCATTAGTGTGATTATTGCATGATTGGAAAAGCTTAAAATGGTTAACACTCGCAACTGGCATCAATTGAAAAGCAAAGTAATTAAAGTTGATAGCACTGTTGAATCAATGTGTGTGCTTTCATATATTTTTCTCAGAGGTTCTCGGAATGTAAATATTAACCCCGTTTTTGTTCGGTCTTACCATTCACAAACTAAGGGACGGACCATTAGAAAACTTATCGGGAGGGGGAAGTGTCGGGGGGGGGGCAAGAAAAAAAAAAAAGAATTCGCGCAAGGGAAAATTAAATGAAAAAAAAATTCATGCACGCCAATTAACCCCAAACCATGTTTATGCCACGGCCTAAAAAAAATACATACAAGGAATTTGATAAGGAAAAAAAAATTCCTGCGGGTCAAAAATTCCCCCCCATAACTTTTCTAATGGTCCGTCCGTAAGTAGAATTTGCACTTAGTGACATGGAAAATATCTATATTCAGCATTTGTGTCACGCTTGCAGTCCGCCTTTTCTCTTGAAATCCGTCTAGTTCTTATCTCAGCCAGCGCGATTGCAAACCACGACGTTATGTTACAATAAGGGCAGTCTAGAAAATATGGGCCATGACTCCTACTGTTGACTATTAACGAGAGAAAAAATTCTCGGTGCGGTTCATCTAAGGTGAAATACTTTTTGTAAAATAGTAAATGCCGGTAAATATCGAGCAACCGGCAGCCATGGTCAAAAATGAAATAATTTTGCTCATGTCTTGTCCATAGTTAAGTACCTAATATCATAGGTGACGAATTACTCCTTAATTTTGCCGCCAAATTTCAGCGTTAATTTGTAATTTCACATGTGAAATTACAAAATTGCCATGGCAACCTTCCGTACGTCTCAGTGTCAAGATGGCGACGAAGTTTTCAAATGTCATGAATGAAGATGTCAGGGCACAAAAAGACGCTTTAGAAAGCCTGAACACACGAAAGAGCACATCAAGAAGGATTCTAACAGGTATTTTGTCGAAACACTCTGAACTTAAGCCAAATTTAAGCTCTAAACGTTCGAGAGAATGCAGGAGTTCTCGATCGATACGATCCAGGATAAAGATGTCAAAAATCCAAGATGGTTAAAGTAATTCGTCACCCGTGATATTAATAGGTAATCAAATGGTATACTCGTGAAATTAGGGAATAATTTCACTTGCGTTTTGTCCAAATCCTAATAATTGTCATTATAAGGATTTGGACAAAACGCGCGTGAAATTATTCCCTAATTTCACTCGTCACCATTTGATCTCACATACTTATTACATGAAATGTTCGCGACATGTTAATTTGCAATTTTTTTGTATCGCGACTGATTCAAATAATAATAATAAGTTAATCCTAAAAAGCAAGTCGCGTAACACTAACTGGATCGTGGATCCGTTCACGCAAGCACATGGCAAATGCACATTTCACATGCGCATTTTGCGGTTTTCTTTCACGCCGATGTAAAATTGAAGAAAACGTCCATGAAAACTTTATAAATACAAAAATTCCCTTTTAAAAACGTACTTTCCTTGACCATAGAGTATACAGAATGTATCTCAAGTTTCTTCAGAAACCTTGCTGCCTCGGTTGCCGGGTTTAAGCGCTCTGATCCACCGTGAAGAAAAAAAGGTTGAATTCCTCGAAAGATAATTTCATAGCGAATAGCTCTTGTTTGTCCACAAAAACGAAACTGAGCATTCTCTTTAACTGTCTCTTTCCTCCTGTGTCTTTCATCGGCGTATTTTCAATCTTGATAATCTACAAAATATTTCTTAACTTGTGCAGTACACTTGCGTTTGTTATGTTTGCGTTTGTTTATTAGAAAACTTATGGGGGAGGGGGGGCAGGAAAAAAATATTCGCGCAAGGGAAAATTGACTGGAAAAAAAAATTGTGCACGCCAATTAACTATGGCGTACATTTGCGGACAAAATAATTGAAAGTAAAAGACAATTCGAAGTTTAAAAATTAGACTATCCCTGTCGAAATCTCGTCATATGAATTTGAAATCGCAATGGAAGCAGTCGAAATAGCATCATTCGAACTTGAAGTTACTTTGAACAAGTTGAAACTATAAAGGGAAAACTCGACATCGTGGATGTTGAAGTTCAAATCACCATTCCAACTAAAATGCAAATTACATGATTTGAACTTCAATTCACCTTCTCCACTCTAATAAGCCACTTAATCGTCAAATGAAACCTTTAATTTGAACTTAAAGTCACGTCACATATTCGAAATTTCAATTCGAAAGGAAGCGGAAGTAAAAGTACACAGGAACTGGAAATGATAAGAGCTTCGCTACACTGTACATACGGGATGTTTGCATAACTGCATTTTGGCGCGAAAAGATTTCCCTTCGCTCGAACTCTCTAGTCAATGTGGCGGACAATGTGAATGATAAGGGTGACTCTAGGACAATCCAACAGATTGTGAGGGCTGTATATTAGTGGCAAACTTAAACTCTATAAACGGAGAAGCGTTAAGGCTTCTGAGAACAAATTCCTCTCAATTTACTTTTGAGGAAAACATGAGTAATTTCAAAACACCCCTGCAGAATAGAGATTACCCAGCTAGATCTGTAGAAAAACACCTTTCAGAGATTAAATTCTCTGATAGAGAACCGCACTAAAGAAAATACTGCCCTTTGTAACACAATACCATCCGGCGTTGCCTAACCGAAAGGACACACTCATGGGGAAATGGCACCTTATAGAAAACCAACCGCAACTGAGAGAAATCTTTAGGAACCCCCCATCATCTCATATCGTAAGGGAAAATCCCTAAAGGACATCCTAGTTAAAGCCAAGCTATGAAGGCTTTATTAGAATTTATGCACCCGCGAGCTGCAGGACTCGTGTAGGTTTGTCAACACTGTTAGCAGAGTTGACAAAGTTCTCTCGTGAGCATCAAGTCGACGAAATAAAAATTCAGAATTATCATATGATACTGAGTTTAGATTAGTTTCTGATGCCTCTAACAGTCTAACCAGTCCAACGAAAAACTCTTCGTTGTTCGGTAGCCATTGAGCAGCCATGACGATGATCAAATCAGAGATGAAGAAAGCTCAGGTTCCAAGCCTCCCATCTGTAGACTCGTACCTAGTCGTTACTCTGTTCCTGTGTATTTTTACTTCCGCTTTCTTTCGAATTGAAATTTTGGTTTTTCGAATTCGAATATGTGACGTGACTTTAAGTTCAAATTAAAGGTTTCTTTTGGAATTTTGTGGAAGATTATGGTTGCATTGTTGACGATTAAGTGGCTTATTAGAGTGGAGAAGGTGAATTGAAGTTCAAATCATGTAATTTGCATTTTAGTTGGAATGGTGATTTGAACTTCAACATCCGCGATGTCGAGTTTTCCCTTATAGTTTCAACTTGTTTAAAGCAACTTCAAGTTCGAATGATGCTATTTCGACTGCGTTCATTGCGATTTCGAATTCATCTGACGAGATTTCGACATGGATAGTCTAATTTTTGAACTTCAAATTGTCTCTTATTTTCAATTATTTTTGTCCGCAAATGTACACCATAATGTCTAGTCCTAATCATGATGCAAGTGTTTAATTAATGAAACTGATTTGACCGTTATTTGCCTTACCCGTCAAATATTCATACCTCTTTTTAGCCGAGTTTTCGGTCCGTACTGTAAATTACGGAACGAGTTTTTTCCGTCGATTTATGGCCCAAGCGCGAAGCCCGAAGGGCCATAAATCGATGGAAAAAAACGAGGAGAACGGGATACTAAATATCGATAGCTGTTCCCGAAAGCTAAGTGGTTGGAAACAATACCCACGTACAATGGGGGGCATGTTTCATATTAACATATTAACTTATGAATTAAATAAGCAATCTTGTAGGTAAACTTCTTTTGATAAAAAATTTACTTGAATGCGAGTAAAACGTTTGGTTTACGTCATGCGCTAAGCTAATTTTTATTGGACTTTGACTCCTTGAGGAATGTACTGCCTTTATGATTCTTGACGTTACGTTCATGTGACATTTTCTGCATTTTTTTTCAACTAAGGCTAACTACAGTTACGAAGCGAGTATACTATTATAGAGGGGAGAAAAACGTCGAGATTTGAAATTTGAAACTTGTTTTAATTTTAAAAAGCGCCAGGTTCTACATAACTTTATTGTTCAACATTGTTAAAGCATACAGTTGGATTTGATAAAAGTATCCAACAAGGCAGATCAGAGTTTAGTGTCTACAGGTTCCAGTTCAAAATCCTGCTGTAGATACCTCGACTTGCTTGGTAGTGGTGTCAAAGAAAACCCTCGGTTATCTATTGCCTCCGGTGCCTCTTTGTTTATTACCGTTCGACGTCTTGTGAGGCATAAAACTAGTGCTTGTCGGAACTCAAGTGTTCTTAATGAGTACACAACTGAGTTTAGAAAACAGTTTGAATAGTTGAGAATATTTATGATATCATAAATCAAACACCTTTTAGGTGTAGTAATGTTTTGAACATAAAATATGTAGTTTGCAGTCACTAGAGGAAGCCATGACACTAGACAAGTAGTAGACACGAGCAACAAGGTTGCGGTCAAGCGTTGGGTTTGAGAAACTCTGTTTCCCTGTTGTGAAGAAACTTTCCTCTTGTGGAAGGTTCTGCAAATACCAATGTTACAACCACAAACAACAAATAGAAACAGCAAAGGGAATGACATCCAAGCATACGTAGCTGCTTTGCATGAAATTGAGTACTTGACAGCATTAAACAGGGCCGAAACAAGCAAAGCCAGCGTCCAGATGATGACAATTGTAATGTAGTACGCTTTGGTTGACAAAGTTCGGTGTTTTAGCGGCCAGTAAATGGCGTAAAAACGTTCAACGGCTATAAAAACAGCAGAGATTAAAAAACCGCTCCTGAAATTAAATCTGCGAAGGCCATGTTTACAACCAGAAAAAGGCTTTTCTTTCGAAGTTTTTTCTCTTTTGCAAAACGACCAAGTGTGAGAAAGTTTCCCGCGACAATCAGGACGGCTTCCAGCAAGAAAACGACGAACAGTGTTATTCCTTCTACCTGTGAAGGAACTGAATACAGTAAGGATGAGAACGATGTATTAATTGCGCTCGAGCCAGGTGATACGTTCCTCATTTTTTTATGAAATAATAAAATTTGTCGTCCTGAACAAACAGTCATATGTGACCAGCATTGGAAGTATCTCGATGTAGGAAAAACTGAAACTATTTATCTCGTTGCCTTGAATACACTGCATGCGTCTCTGGATCATGATGCAGGGCTTGAAGTATCTCGATATAGAAACTTGAAAAAGATATCAACTTGTCGCCTTAGATACATTGTATGCGTCCTGTGGGTCATGATGCAGGTGGCAATTAATGAAACTAATTTAACAGTTATTTGACTTAGCCCGACAAGGCAAAAATTTATTATACCTTTTGAGACGACTTAATGGTCTGAATTTCTTAATAAGTCCTCACAACGTATCGGCCAAATATCAGCTACTTGAGCGCAACTTAAGAAAATAAGCATAAAAAATAGACGATCAAAATTTATATGACCTAACCAGAACGGTATCCTTATGCGAGAGTATAAAAGATTTCGGAAATATTAAGACAGTTGCATTAATTAGTCATTCAAGTATCCATCCGTTTCCAATTGGCTCGAGTCCTCCTGCTAATTTTTAGTTAATCAGCTGGCGTTAAAAAAACTACTTTCTACCTGAATTTGCGACAAAATCATAAAAAAAAACATTCAACGACTCCCCTAAGCACTGTAGATTAAATTACCAATTAAAGCTCTCAGCAAGAAATGTAATATTATGAGTTGCTCTTCCATTTGAAATGCCAGCTTGACTTGTTTCCTTTTTTGACGACGACCATGGGTTTGTTGAATATTATCTAGTGCGTACAGAGAAATCGTCTTCTGTTGGCGATTTCAATCATGCATCCCTATATTAAAATTTAAAAGTAATGCTTCAGCTGCTGGTTTGTGTGACCAAGGTTTTTAAGTAAATAAGGACACTGGGGGCTGGTTGTACCGCTCTGGAATGGTTTGGAAGCTATTTGTCGGGACGTCAACAGTACGTCAGGATCGGTGCTGAGGCCTCAAGTCTGGGTGCTATTTCTCATTGTGTACCACAGGGTTCCATCCTAGGTCCGGTTATATTTACCATCTACATTAACGACCTTTCCAACATCCCGAAACTTGGTTCTCTGGAATCACACGTTGACTATTGAAAACTCTATTAGTCATTTTTTGTCAAAGATACTTGCAGTGTGGTCCAGCAAATTAATGATGATTTATCAAAGATTTCGTCTTGGTGCTGCTATAATAGTCTTTTGATCAACCCAGACAAAAGTTGATAATGGTGCTGGGAACTCAACAAATGCTACAGAGACTACCTGCAGACTTTCACGTCACTCTACTTGAAAAGGAAGTTACTATAGCCTTCTCTGCACGAGACCAGGGACTTCAAGTAGAATCCACCCTTAGCTTTGATGAACATATTACAAACACTGTCTCATTATGTTTAGGTAGTTTATGTCAGATTAATAGGGTGAGACATTTTCTCGGCACCAGGACATTGGGGAATGTTGTAAATGCGCTGGTATTTGGCAAATTACACTATCTCTTCAAGCAGCTTATCTAGTTGTTCCCTGTATGCAGTACTTCTCTCCGTCTTCAGTTTTGAGAATATTTTTTTTTTTATCCTCCGACGTGCATCTCCCCAATAAGGTTTTTCTGAGTTTTTTCCTAGAGGATAAAACATTAGCACCTGGCCCCAGTTGTTCAAAACCTGGATAGTGCAATTGGTTTCCCCAATGCTTATCCACTGGATAGTAATTTATCTGGTGGATAGCGCTATCCAACTTTTGAGCAACCGGGGCCTGACGTTTTCAGTAGCTGTTCGTTCCACCCTCGCTTCAAAACAAACAAACTGAACCAATTAGGTTTCACTACCATACATGTCATGCCGTTCGTTCGTCCGTCTGAGCATTCTTTCATTCATTTATTCATTCATGTATCCATGCATTCATTTATTGTCTGGCTACGCTACACTTTAATTTCTTTGTCAAAATTTTTACATCACAACGTAGTTGCAATAATTAGACTAACATAGCTCATTACAGTTAAGCGACAATAGTTTCTACTTCAAAATCCTTCTGAAAGCAATTTGGGTCATTTCGATGTGTTGATGGTCGTATTACCGGTGTTGGGGCAAGCCCCCTGTTATCTCTTCCTTTTTTTCCTTTCGTGTCTATTTATCAGCTTCCGACGTCTTATTATGCAAAAACCCAGCGCTTGTCTAAATTCGGGAATACTAAATGAGCACACAACTGCTTGACGAGACTGTTGGAAAAGTTGAGAAGATTTATGATACGATAAAACAATTTAACTTTAGGTATATTAATCTTTAGGATATAAATAAGACAGTTCGCGATGACTAAGGGAAGCCATGACAGTAGAGAAATGGTGGACATGAGAAGCAAAGTTAGCGTCAAGCGTTTGTTTAGGAAGGCTGTGTTTTGTCGCTGTGAAGAAATCTTCCTCCGTGGATACTTTCTCCAAATACCTATGCTACAAGCGCAAACAATGAATAGAGACGGCAAAGAGAATGACATCCAACAAAAAGAAGCTGCTTTAGATGAGATTAACAAGTTTGCCATGTTAACCACCGCGGAAAGAAAGCCAGCCAGCGTCCAGATGATGAAAATTATAATGTAGTATGCTTTAAATGACATAGTTCTGTGTTTCAGCGGCCAGTATATGGCGTAAAATCGTTCAAAGGCTATAGCGGCTGCTGAGATTAACGAGCCCTGCGAGAAGGTGGCATCAACAACACTCCAAGAGATGTCCAAGGACAGTTTCTCTTTACTGAATTCCATAACCAAAAAGTGGGCCCGATCCATAAGTAAACATACAAAGGCATAGAAACAGCCCCTAAAATAGTATCGGCAAAGGCCATGTTTATTACAAGTAAATTACTTTCCTTGCGAAGCGTTTTCTTTGATGTCAAGACTACAAATGTGAGCAAGTTCCCAACGGAAATTAAGACAGCTTCCAGGAGGAAAACGCTGCACAGCACTATACCTTCTACTCGTCAATGGTATGATGAAGACATGTTATTTGAGCTCGTAGCAGCTGATACATTCTTCATTTTTGGGAGAGGTTGTAAATGTCAAGAAATCGGTTTTCTTAAGTGACTGGAGTACAGTAGGTCGCAGAGCGTCTGAAAGGTAACTGGATGCTTCAAAGAAACTTAAGATATATTTATCCCGTGAATTAATTATGTTTTGTTGATCACACATACACTGTAAGTACAGGTGTTCAACATAAAGCACCAATTACATTACGAGTCTTCATAGCAAATAACATCACGGCTTAACTGACAGACTACCAATAACATGGAGACGTAATTGAACAATCAGGGCAATAACCAGAGTATAATACCATCAACTGACCTGATACAACTTACTTCGACTCTGAAGATGACTACCACGCAGGTTGTCGAAACGTCAGTCACTGTCAACAACAACAGTCCTATTCAGGACTACGCTCACCCGGACGATCAAACTCAACTATACTGATTATTGAGACTGCAAAAATTCGCCAATTTATTTTGAACTAAGACGATGGAGTAATCGGTTTGAACGTTTATGTCTTTGAAGCCAGGTTTTAATCGCCTGTCCGATCCTTTTCTTGATGATAAAATGGCAATATGAAATTGATAAAAAATAAATAAACCCACGCGATTGTGAGCTCAATTATAACCTATGATATTAATACGTGGTATAATCGGCAAATTAAGAAAAAAAATGTTAAAAGTCTCACAAAAGGTTCGAGAACTTATGAGACTTTTGACAAAAGGCAAGTGTAATTATTTCCTCTTTTCATTCGTCACCATTCAAATATACACATTCTAATTTTTTCGCATGCATTTGAAAATTAATGTTCAGCGCGTAATAACAACAATATTTAAGCTTAACGATAATGGACACTTTTTGCGCTTCGGTCAATTGAAGAAATTAATTTATATTGCTGGAATGGATAGATGAAACCGAAGAAAACTAAAAATGTCTTGGTACATGTATGACGAGTTTACATAAAATTGTTTATCAAGAAAAGTTAAGCTCTATCTCATTGGATGAATAGGTGTTGTGTAACAAACCAGAGAGACCTTTAAAAAATGTTCTTGGACTGGCTTCCTAGCAGTAATATTGCAGGAAGTTTGTCACGTAAACCTAGTTTAGTGTCCCTAGCTCCGAAGAATATCCTGTAACTTAGTGGTAGAGCATCTGGACTAGTATTCAGAATGCCATAGGTTCGTCTCCTATCGGGAGTACTCGGAGTTTTTTTCCATAGAGGGCTAGATCAATAACTGAAAAATCATCCTCCCATATTATCGATCTTCATTTCGTGAGCTTTGCGTGTACTGGGTGTTCCTACGCTGCAAAATATTGATCTTAGTTTGTTGTAGAAAAAAGAGGAAAGAAAACGCAAATTAACCTCGTGGACAAAATTAACTTTTCTTTGTTTTTTTTTTATGTAAACTAGCTATATGCTTTTTGAAAGATCGGTCTATGCTGTAAAGGTACTGACTAAACATTGTGAAATGATAACCTAAAGAAGTTCTATTTGTCCCAGCTATTTACTTGAACAAATCCAAATTGTTCAACTTCCTTATTTACACAACTGATGTCTTTGCAAATTGCGGTAACTGTGAAAATTTTAATGTCAAGGAAGGAAGTTCAAAAAACAATAGACTTCATAAATACCAACGAATAATTGTCTAGAGTAATTCAGTAGAAATTTGGCTCAGGACTCGAACAATCAACAAGGAAGAAAAATTAAAAGAACTCATTATTTGCGCGTCACATCGGAACGGTGATAAATACTTAGTTATCAATTATAGTTTTTTGTAACTTTAATAAAAGAATATTAAAATAACCAAACGTCTTCCACCTTTGAAGGCAGACTTAACTTACGAATAATTTGTGCAATGTCCGGGAATGTCGTTGCACGACTGGGTGCATGATAAAACATATTGAATATTTGGTAACTAAACATTTTAATTTGTTCGCTTTTGAAAAAATAATATCCTGTTCGTGATAAGAGCAATACTCAGTCTTAACGATATTTTTAAACATTTTGCTTTTCAGTTATGGTCAGATAGGCAATAAAAAATATACAGCTTGGATAGATAGATCGTGTGCGAAATCATTAGACAAAACTATGCATAATGAAAAGTTTAATAGCTGAACCAAGATAGAATATTGACAAAAAAGCTACAAGGAATATATGGAAAGAAAAAAAAGAAGGCAAAAAAAAAAGGGAAAAAAAATAAAGAAAATCAAGAGTCTTGTCGTTGAACTTCTTTGAAATTTTACCTGAATTTCTAAAAAGGCAGTTGATGCACCAGAGGAGGCTAATTTACCGTGGAATTTGACTTCTATAGGAATAAGGACCTAATGATACTTGACGTTATGTACAAATGACTTTTACTACATTATGGTTCAGTTAAAGAACCGAAGTTACAAAGTGAATCTATCAAAATAGAGATTCAAAATTTCAAATTTAAAGCGCCAGGCTCTGCATAAATTTAGTGTTTACAATTTTTACAGCATGCAGTCAGATGTGCATGATAACATGGCTGATCACAGTTTAGTGTCCACAGAATCCAGTTCAAAATCCTGCTGCAGATACCTTGACTTCCTTGATAATGCTGATGGCTCTATCCCCGACGTTAAAGCAAACCCCTTGTTATCTCTTCCTTCGTGCTCGCCCCTGTTTATTACTGTTTGGCGTCTTGTGAAGCAAAAAACCAATGATTGCCTGAACTCAGGTATCCTTAATGAGTAGACAACCGAGTTTACAAAACAGTTTGAAAAGTTGAGAATATTTATGATATTATAAATCAAAAATTTGTTAGGTATAGTAATGTTTTTAACAAAAAATATGTAGTTTGCGGTCACTAGAGGAAGCCATGACAGTAAAGAGACGGTGGACACGAGCAACAAGGTTACGGTCAAGCGTTTGGTTTGAGATTCTCTGTTTCCCTGTTGTGAAGAAACTTTCCTCTTGTGATAGAGTCTGTAAATACCAATGTTACAAAGACAAACAATAAATAGAAACAGCAAAGGGAATGACATCCAAGCATAAGTAGCTGCTTTACATGAAATTAAGTATTTTGCTGTATTGAACACCGCGGAAACAAACATAGCCAGCGTCCAGATGATAACAATTACAATGAAATACGCTTTGAGTGATAGAGTTCGGTGTTTCAGCGGCCGAAAAATGGCGTAAAACCGTTCACAGGCTATAAAAACAGCTGAGATTAATGATGCCTGCGAGGAGCTGGTATCAACGACATCCCAACCGATACGCAACGTTTTGTATGATGTATGCCATTTCCACAGCCGATACGTGGGCCCGATATCTAAGTAAACATACAAAGGCAAGGAAACAGCTCCTAAGATCAAATCTGCAAAAGCCATGTTTACAACCAGTAAAAGGCTCTTCTTTCGAAGTCTTTTCTCTTTTGCAAAGAGACCAATTGTGAGAAAGTTTCCCGCGATAATCAGGACAGCTTCCAACAAGAAAAAGACAGACACTGTTATTCCTTCTACCCGTGAAGGAACTGAAGACGTAATATTTGCACACGTGCAAGTTGATACGTTCATCATTTTTTTGTATGAAATACTTGCTTTTTCTTTTCTTCTTAATGTGTCCAGGACTTGAAGTATCTCTTGGTGTAGGAAAAACTGAGGATATTTATCTCTTTGCGTTAAATACAGTGTACTGCGTCTGTGGATCATAAAACAGAATGAATAATCTCGATGTAGGAAAAAACATTTATCTCGTCTCCTTTTAATATACCGTAAAATTCCGAAAATAAGCCCCAGGGCTTACATTTTTCAAAAACCCTTTTTGAGGGGCTTATTTTTGGACGGGCTTATATTCGGAGGGGCTTATCTACGGAGGAAAACTTGCTTAAAATCGATTGGGCTAGCCTTATAGTTGAACGTAAATTTATCGTTGTTTTACTTTGTATTTGAGGGCAATTTTCCAATTTCAAGCCCCCAGGGGGCTTATATTTGGAGGGGCGATTTAACTGAGGGTTTTTTAAGTTAACGGTTTTGGGGGCTTATATTTGGAGGGGCTTATACATGGAGAGGCTTATTTTCGGAATTTTACGGTACACACTGTATGTGTTCTGTGGATGCAGGTGAGGTTAAATGATTACACGTAATTTAACCGTTATTTTGGCATAGCCTAACAAATATTCGGCAATTTATTTCATCTTTTGGGATGACTTGTTGGACTAAATTTGTTAAGACGTCTTCTCAACGTACCGGCCAAACATCGATTACAAGAGGGATTTGCAGATGTTTAGCGGAACAACGTAACTAGAACAGTTCCTTTATGCAAGAGCAAGACCTCGGAAATATTAGGACATATAGTTATAATAATTATTCATTTAAGTATCTATCCGTTTCTTATTGGCTCAAATCTTCCTAATAATTTTGCATAACCAACTGACTTTGACCATATTTGAAAGATATTTTCCGATATTCTCAAAAATGACGCCAGGAGACAGTTGGCTAAAACGGGGGACAGCAAGGCACAGCGAATACAGAATAAAGCGTGTATGAGGAAGTCTTATTACTCGATTTGCGCTTGGGCCATAGGCCACTTCCACTAAGAGGTCACGTGACCAGCAGCTCTTTAAAACAATGACTTGGAATCCTGTTGATGACAAAAATTGACAGAGCGCTTAAAAATTATCTTACACCCGAAATATGAGAGGAAACGCATTCAAAGGAGATATTTTATGGCACTTTGATTTTTCAACAAAGCAGTATGATTTGTATTGGCCGCCATGTTGGAAGGCATAATCTTGCCCTCCAATATGGCGGCCAAAACTACTGTTTGTATCTTGTTAAACGTTTGATAGTTACGCTCAGATGCACAGTAATTTTCCAGGACTTATAATAACTCCTCTAGTGGGGCTAATTTAACTCCTTACAGTGGAGTAATTTTTTGGGAAGTTATTTTAACTCCAAAAAGGAGTTTAAAGAACCCTTTTTGAGGAGTAAAAGTGACCCCAGATATTGAGCGGTTAAAATAACCCCAAAAAAGGAGTTATCCTGTACCTAAAATTTTTACTCCACTTTCAGAGTTAAGTTAACTCCAAACAGAGTAAAAACAACCTATGTAAGGAGTAAAATAACCCCATTTCGGAGTTATTTAAACTCCAGACTGGACGCCAGTTTGGAAAACTAAGTCAAAGTGACCGTGATTTTGTTTAAGATATGACCCACTAATCGTTTTTTGAAGGCAAAATCATACAACTTTCATTTTCATAAAATGATGTCAGATGACCTCTTAGTGCAAATGACCATGGCCTACTGTTGTGCCATCCTCCCCTGGGTTTGAGATGCTCTGTTTCCCGGTTGTGAAAAAAATTTCCTCTTGGGGAAAGTTCTGTAAATACCAATGTTACAAAGACAAAAGATAAATAGAAGCAGCAAAAGGGAATGACATCCAAGCATACGTAGCTGCTTTGTATGAAATTAAGTACTTGACAGGGCTGAACACCACCGAAATAAGCAAAGCCAGCGCCCAGATTATGACTATTGTAATGTTCAGTAGTACGCTTTGGGTGAAAAACTTCGGTGTTTTAGTAATAATAATAATAATAATAATACACTTTATTTTAAGAGGGTGACACCAATTACTATGAAAAATATTCCCCCTAGTGGCCCTGTAAATAGAGGCCAATAAATGACGTAAAAACGTTCAAAGGCTATAAAAACAGCCCAGATTAATGATGCGTGCGATAAGATGGCATCAGCGACGTCCCAACCGATATTTAACGCTTTATATGATGTTTCCATAGCAGATAACTGGGCCCGATAGATAAGTAAACATATAAAGGCAAGGAAACAGCTCCTGAAATCAAATCGGCGAATGCCATGTTTAAACAAAGTGTTTGAGCGTTTATTGGGTAACCAATTAACAATAAAGTAATATATAGATTTAGCCAAGGCTAAAAGCGAAGCTCCCATTAATAAATTTATAATTTAAATCAAACAATAAACTTGTAATCCACAAATCAGTTAACTTAAGGGCACATTCATGTGAATTTTGAGGGAAAGGCTAAGTTATTTTAGAGTGAAACATCTTACATCGAGTTGATAGCCTTATATGTAAGCCCAAAAAATAGCAAACATCTTCGATCACATTCAAGAGCCATAATGGTTCTTGATCACAGCTGTAGATCAGGCCTCAAAAACAAATTCTTGAAAAACAAATCAGGCGGAATTTTTTTGCGTTCGACAGGTTTACTTTACAAATTCTTGCCAACAAATCTGGTGGTGTGTAAACCAACCTTTTATACTTTTATACATCACATCTGAGGTGAAACAGTACGTACAATTTATCATACAGACCTCGGACAGAATGTGGTATTTCACACTTTTTCAAGACAAATTGCACTCAGTCAATGTTCAGGACGATCAATTGTGGGCTTTTAGGCGAAACCGTTCAAAAAATTTCCAAAATCACCCATAAGGCCGGCCGGTTCTCGTTTCTAGTGCGAGCTGTCAGTGTGGTCGAGTGTTTGAATGAACTTTAATAGAGTTACGTTTCAACATAATAACGAATTTATTATTATTATTTTTTGTTATTTAATGGTTTCAGTTATAACGATATGTAATCTTATAAAGCGTTTGATACGCGCGACGTTACCGACGCGACGTCTAGTGGAAGATTGAAAATTGGCTAGGGACAATCGTCTATTAGTGGGAATATTATCAATAGATATGTCCAAAGCGTTTGATAGCTTCACCCACCTCTTATGCTATGTAAGTTGAAAGCCTAAGGCTTCCAGGATTTGCTTCTTCAGGGATATCAGACGATGAACATTCGGAATAAAAGTGTGAACTATGGTGACAAAACAAGTATAACTGTCAATGGCAGAGATATAGTGGAATCAGACAATTTAGAGCTCCTAGGCGTAACTATTGATTGTGTCTTAATTTTACTTTGCATATTTTAGTAATGTTTGTAAGAACGCTAGCCAGAGAATAGGTGTAAGGCTGAGGAATCTCATACCAACTGAAAGTTTCCTGTGACAATCAGGACGGCTTCCAACCAGAAAACGACGGACAGTTTTATTTCTTCTACCCGTGAAGGAACTGAATATTGTGAGGATGAGGACGATGCATTATTTGCGCTCGAGCCAGGTGATACGTTCCTCATTTTTTGTATGAAATAATAAAATTTGTCGTCCTGAACATGTGGCCATCATTGTGGAAGTATCTCGATGTAGGAAAAACTGAACTATTTATCTCGTTGCCTCAAATACACTGTATGGGTCTGTGGATCATGATGCAGGATTTGAAGTATCTCGATTTAGAAACTTGAAAAGAGACATTTATATTGTCGTCTAAAAATACATGCGTCCCGTGGGTCATGATGCAGTTGTTTAATTATTTGGCTTTATAGCCCGACAAGAAGAAGAAGAAGATACTTTTATTTAGCTAGGGTAACTCCTACAGTTACAAAAACTGATATCCTTAGAGGCTCTAGATAAAAAAGGAAATATAAAAATATGTATATCGTAAAAAAAGAGGATAAAAATTATTACAAACGATTAATAAAAACTACAATTATGATTAAAAACTTCATATCCATGATAATAAAAAGCTTTTTTCGTACATTCTAATTTGATGGAGGGAAGACGGAGATGATTACTTTGCCGCGTTTTTCTCTGTACGATATCTCTATTAAAATAAAAGGAGTCCATTAAAAATTGCGGACAGCGCTTATTTAGACATTTCTTTACAAGGTTTAACGCGTGAATCTCCCGTCTAAGCCCCAGCGCTTCATCACTGCTGTTGGTTTGCGTGATAATCCTTGCCGCACGTCTCTGTAATTTTTCTATATTATCAGCATTCGTACGTCCGCAACAGTTCCAAAGGTAACAATTTACTATACCTTTGGAGACGACTTATTGGTCTGAATTTGTTAATTAGTCCTCACAACGTATTGACCAAATATCAGTAACTGAGCACAGCTTTGAAGAAATAAGCATAAAAAATAGATGATCAAAATATATAAGACATAACCAGAACGGTATCCCAATGCAAGAGTATAAAAGATTTCGGAAATATTTAGATAGATAGTTAAACGGTAATAATTATTCATTCAATTATCTATCCGTTTCCGATTGGCTCGAGTCCTCCTGCTAAGTTTGAGTTAATCAGCTGGCGTTAAAAAATTTAATTTCTACCTGAATTTCGGTAAATTTGCAACAAAATCACGACAAAGCATTCAAAACTCCCCTAAGCAATGTAACATAAATTACCAATTAAAACTCTATTTACCAATATTCAGCAATATTAACTGAGCCTGAGGTGAAAAGTTTTTTTTAGTATATACACACAAAGTGATCTCAACAGAATCAGAAAGGAAACCATTAAAAAAAAAACGATTAGTTTGATTGACGGGTGAATTCATGCGTGAACACGTAGCCGTAAATAGTAGATGCGCAAAAGTTAGATCTTTACAGTGTTTTCAGACATGGCAAATCATAGTTTTAATGTTTTTGTAAGCTTTAGCATCGATGAATGAAAAGAAAACGTCTTAATTTTGAATAACTCTCCTTTCTGAAAAGAAA